TCCTAAACTTCTGAATAGGTACTGTTGTATATCCAAAATCTGAACTGGCTTCATGTGTCACTATGTTTTACAAACATTCTTTATTAAAATAATCCATCCCTTTGCTTAATCTTAGCAAATCTCATTATTGCCATTCATATAGTGATAAAAATGGAAGATTGTTCTTTATTAACCTGTTCCATGCTTTCATTTACGCTTGTTGAGCTCTCAATCCATATACACTAGTCCAGTAGTGGCGAACCTATGGCACGGGTGCCAGAGGCAGCACTCAAAGCCCTCTCTGTGGGCATGCGCGCCATTGCCCCAGTCCTAGGCCTTCAGCTGGGTTTTATAAAACCTTTTCGCTTTACGCCTCCGTTGCCATGTGCAAAAAAAAAAAAAAAAGGTTCAATCAGTTAATTTCAACTTTTCGCGGGAAGAAAAAGATCTTGCAAAGTTGGAATTGATTGATTGAACTTTTTAGTCCCACCCAGTCTGCTGTTACCACTGCAGCCACGCCCACCCAATTGGCAACGCCCACCCGGCACTCGACAATGCATAAGTGGGTTTTGGGTTGCAGTTTGGGCACTCAGTCTCTAAAAGGTTCGCCATCACTGCACTAGTCCATTGGCAGAACCTGGCCTAGACAAATGTAACAATATATTTGCATATATCCTTGAAGGAGATTGGTAAAAAAAAAAAAAAAAGCTTGCTCATTTTTCCCGGCAAGATATACTTAGTGTTATGTCAGCTGAACTGAAAGAGCTGTTTGTTGAAAGCTTTATATTGCTGCGATGCATCACAGGACCATTATTATGACCTTGTTGTGGTCTGTGATAATAAGTGGGAGTTTTCTAAATGAATGATTTTTATATCAAAAAGAAATAGCATTTCGGAGGCTGATTCTTAATTAGAAATTGGAATAGGTAAGCCAAGTGCAATAGATCAGTAGATTTTCATCTAATATTATGATAAAAACGCACTTGGAAAAGGCATAAACTTATGTAGCAAGAAAAAGAATGAAGGGCAGGGACAATAGGAAATTAGTTGCTAGGCTATGTGCCTTGATGTGCCTTGATCTATTAATGACTGCCCCTGGACTCAAATTCATCTCATCTTCTAGTTCATCTACACCAGCGGTTCTCAACCTATGGGTCGCGACCCCATTTGGGGTCGATCGACCATTTCACGGGGGTCGCCAAGCAAGGCTGTCCGCCATTTTTTTCCCCCTTTTCCGGCGGGTGCCTTACCTCCCTTGAGCTGGGCCAGCTGGTGGTTGGCCTGCTCCGTCTCTGCCGCTTGCCAGCTACGCCTCGGCCGGCGCAGGGGGCAGAACCACGCATGCGTGGTGCTCCCGGGCAGGGAAAGTCCTCGACTTATGACCGGTTGGGTAGTCCTCAACTTACGACCGGTTTAGTCCTCGACGTATGACCGGTTTAGTCCTCGACTTACGACCGGTTTAGTCCTTGACTTACGACCAGTTGGGGGTCGCGGCATTAAAAAGGTTGAGAACCACTGATCTACACCTTTAACAAAGATTCATTTGAATGATCCCAATCTGATTTCAGATTAATTTTTCTTTGTTCAACCCAAAATGTGACTGTTGTAATGTTTTGCGACCTGTACATTCCACTCATATCTAACATTTTTGGGACTTTTTTCCCCCTTGGTCTTATATGCCCTACAGCTTTTCTACTGTCTTTCATAAATAAATCATATTTGCCTTTGTGGTATAATGTTAGAGACAGTTGCAAGAAGTGGCATCCTTTGGGATTTAAACTTTATCCTCACCCCCACCCCGAACCCTACCATCCACCCACTTACTAACTTAAATCCTTAAATGGAGGGATGATAAGCCTCACACTAGAACATGTGAGCAACAGCCATGAACACTAATGTGTCCTGGGGTGTTCAGCCTTTTATTCCAAATAGAGCAGGGGTCTCTAAACTTGGCAACTTTAAAACTTGTAAACTTCAACTCCAAGAATTCCCCAACCACACGAAAGAATGCTAACAAGCAGATGACTACAAGGAATATAAATCCTTCCATCCTCTGCAATTTGGTCAGAGCTGAAGAAGCTTCTTGGATGAGAAGCAAAATGTCTTCAAGGAAAAAACAAAGTCCAGTTGCCTCTTGAAAAAGCATATTTGGACAACGATGACCCGGATGACTGGGAATCTCCATAAACACAAATCTTAAAGTTGCCAAGTTTGGACACCCCTGCAATAGAGTCGGGGAAAGAGCTCAGAATGTTGGCATTTGCGCCATTCTGTGCCCCCGTCCTAGTCACATGCCAAAGAATGGGCTTTTATTAAGGGATCATGAAAGAGATCCAGAAACTATGATTTGCGTGCTTTCCCCTGTTTTTATTATTTTTCAAATACAACTTTTTTGTTTTGAATCAGAATAGGACAGATTATGGCAGACTAGTCTAATCTAGTGTCATCTATCTAATCCCATAGTAGTCAATCATTTGGGAAGTCCATAAGCAATTCATGAGAAGCAGAATTTTCCCACGAGTTCCTAATGCCTGGAACTTAGAAGCATTCTCGAATCCTTTGAGTACATATAGCCATCGTGACTCTCGGTCACTGATAACCTTATTCTAACTGGGTTTTATGGTTGTTTAAGCTTGTATCCGGTTTCATAATTTACTCTTCATTTGCTTGATTGCACTATTTCTGCAGAAATGCTTCACAAGCAATAGATATAAAAGATCTCTGAAATGTAGGCATAGGAAATAATTTAAAAAAACATGAATAAGCAGGGAAGTAGTTTAAACTTTAAATTAAAAAATTAAAGTATACTTTGCAATAATGTACAATAGTATCTCGGTACTCATCGTTAATTGGTTCTGGGAGTTTGATGAGTTCCAAAAGCGATGGGTACCAAACAGTTTTTTCCCATAAGGAATAATGTAGTGAGTCACAAGGCGGCCGACACTGACAAGTTCTAACTTGTACGTTGAGTACCAAACAAACGATGAGTACTGGGACAAAATGTTCGCATCAAAATGTGTTGAGTACCAAATTCAATGAGTTTCAAAGCAGTTGTGTACCAAGGTACCACTGTATATGCATTGTGGGAATGAGCCAAAAGCTTCTTTGGAGAAATTAATTCTGATGACGAGTTTATGAAAATAAGAGATATGACCATAAGGAAATGTTGTAACCAGAGACAATGCTAAGCAAAGCGATCAACAAGGGATAATATGTGAAACTGTTTCGGCCTGCAGGAGTAGATCACATTGGAATTTATTGCTCCTATATATTGGTTATGGCATATAATGAATGAAATGTATATGTCTGGGTATATTTGAAGAACTTGTGTTTGGATTCACTGGACTGTTTTGGTAAAAGCTTCTCTTCCATTATTCAGCATCATATTTCCTAAAAGAACACATGCTGTTAAATAATACAAGGTGTCTTGTGGAGGATGGTTAAAGTTATTTCTGGATTAAGGTCTTGCAAAAAGAGGTGTTAATATTTTTACTCCTTTGGATTTTGTTCTGCTCAAAAAACAAAACCCAGTATTAATGAATACGCCAAACTCTATGTGCATTTTTCCTGTTGTAGTAAACAAATGCAAACTCATTGTCTTTGATGGTTTTCCTTTGTTACTGTGAAACAGAAGTATCTTGGTGGAATGACAGGTTAACAATATGTCCAACTACTGATAGCAATTAATATTGATGAACAAAGGGAAAACCACATGCACATTTAGGAAACTGCTACAAAAAGAAATCTAAGTAGAGTTATACCCCATTGTTCTTCATCAGTCTTGGTAAAATGCAGATATTTTAATCCTGGGAGTCTTGCGTTCAAATTCCATCTGGCTGCAGGTACTGATATAAAGTATTTCAGATGCTTCGGCTGTCTGTTTCATCCAACACGTATAGATTATGAGGTAAAAATCAGATATGGACTGGTGTGGATGGTCCAGTCACCACTTAAACCGCAAAGATTGCTTACTTATACGGGTAGTCCTCACTTAGTGACCACAACTGGCATTTTTGCTCCTAAGTGGTATGGTTGCTAAGCAGGAAATCATGAAAGTGTGACAGACTTAATGACATCACTTCCCATTCAGTCATTAAGTGAACCAGCATGATCATTAAGTGAAAGATAACATGAACACAATTTGTCGATTTTACTTCCTTGTTCTCCATTAACTCTATTTGTCGGAAGCCGGTTGCGAAGCAAACAAATTGCACTTGCCGCAATAATGGTAAATGTGAAATGTTGGCTACGAGCTGTTTTCTTTTACACCAACCTAACTGGAACATTGTTTAATGAGGCAGTCGTTGAGTGAGGACTATCAGTGTCCAAATCAGTGGGAATAACCTAAGCTTAATTTCCAAGTCACTGATCTTATTTTGGTATGGATGATATTGCTCTAATGTTATATTGCTCTGGAAAGAAAACTCAGTTGACAGAGTTTTCATAAACTGAATCAGAATAGAGCTGGAAGGGACCTTTGAGGTCTTCTAGTCCAACCCCCTGCTAAGTCGGAGACCCTATACTATTTTAGGCAAGTGACTGTCCAGTCTCTTCTTAAAAACCTCCAGTGATGAAGCAACCCCAACTTCTAATGGCAAGCTGTTCTACTGGTTAATTGTCCTCACTGTCGGGAAGTTTCTCCTTAATTCCAGGTTGCTTCTCTCCTTGATTAGTTTCCATCCATTGTTTCTTGTCCTGCCTTCAGGTGCTTTGGAGAATAGCTTGACTCCCTCTTCTTTGTGGCAGCCCCTGAGATATTGGAACACTGCTACCATGTCACCCCTCATCCTTCTTTTCACTAGACTAGACTTACCCAAATCCTGCAACCGTTCTTCATATGTTTTTGCTTCCAGGCCTTCTTTGCACTTTTCCCAAAGTCTCAACATCTTTTTTGTAATGAATCCAGTTTGTTATCTTTCGATGACAAAAACAGCGAGATTCTAAGAAAGCTTGGAGTGGTTGCGAAGGGGAGTGGGATGGGATTTAGCAGCAATTCTTTCCTTAACTCTTTGTCTGCTCAGATATTGACCAGTGGAATAAGGTAATTGAACAGCTGGGAACTCCCTGCCCAGAATTCATGAAGAAACTGCAGCCCACAGTGCGGAACTACGTGGAAAACCGGCCTAAATACGCTGGCCTAACTTTCCCTAAACTTTTCCCAGACTCTCTTTTTCCAGCTGATTCAGAACACAACAAACTCAAAGGTAAGAGCAACAGTGATGCGCGAAGCATGCATGAACTACTAGGACAATAAGTACAAACTTGCCTTGCATTAGAAATGTATTTATTATATTTACATCCAAGACTCCTGAAACCCACGGCAGCATATATTGGGTCAGCCAGACTGTCTTCCTTCTGTTCACTGACTGGATCAGGATCTATTAAGCTTTACTAAGTGTCCTGCCTCATGTCAGAGGAACATCGCTAAATACATCTCTAACTTCTGCTGATCCCAATGTGGGGAAAGGATCACTGCAAAAATTCCATTCACTTTCTTTTCAGCATTAAAAATATTTACAAGTAGTCTTGATTGATGGCCACAATTGAGCCCAATTTTACATTGCTAAACAAGATGGTGGTTAAGGGAGTTTGGCCCCATTTTATCACCTTTCTTGCCACAGTTGATATGTGAATCACTGCAGTTGTTAAATTAGTAACACGGTGGTTAAGTGGCTTCCCCATTGACTTTGCTTGTCAGATGATCCTATGACCCCGGGACAATCCAACTGTCATAAATACGAACACTTACCAAACGTTCAAATTTTGATCACATGACCATGGGACGCTGCAATGGTTGTAAGTGTGAAAACCAGTCATATAAAGTCACTTTTATCCAGTGCCGTTGTAACTTTGCATGGTCACTAAATGAATGGTTGTGAGTCAAGGACTTCCTGTGCTCATATTTACCCCAAATGATCTAATTGGTGTTTTACATATCATACTTGAAAATGCTAAGCAGTGATGCCAGGTAGAGGCCAGATAGGATAGAAAAAGTCAAGAGGGCACCATAATCAATATGCAATCAAAGCCTGCCTGCCTTTTTTTTTTACATGTCTTGCATGTGGTACATGCTTTTAAAGGAAAATTCTTTGTGCAATTGTGGCTGCATCTTGGCTTTTTGATGTTCTGGGATGCTATAATGGCATCAACAATTATGACAGATTTTCTTTTTCTAGTCTCCTCCCATTTCTTTTAGTGATATATAGGTTAGTGTATCTACAAGGCAGGGATTATGCATACGCACAAACTCATACATATACATGTATACTGGTGTTGTTGGCCATAATTTCTTTCTTATTTTTACACACCGGTCACCAGAATAGGGTCATCATTGTGTCGTCAAATGTCACTGGCTACAGGCTTGATTTAAAACCAGAGTCTACTCTGAAATTTTGTAGATAAATTTAAATGAGTGGTGAGAATGTCCTGGGAAATATAATTGCTACATGAATATATGTTTATTCATCATCTACTATTTTATCCCCATCTGTTTTTCCTGAAAATGTTTAATCCAAAGCTTACAATTCCTACTATCAAAGGAAGGACAATTAGGACTGTTAAATTTAATTTCCAGGGATGGGTGGATTAACCTAGAACTCTCCAGATGGGTAGGGACTGGAAAATTCTGGGACTTGAAGTCCCAACACATTTGTTGGTACCAGTTGGAGAAGGGTGATGGAGTCTCTTTCTGGTTTGTTTTATTATGAAAAGTTGAGTTTTTACTGTAGGTGTTGTAGCTTAGGGAATTAACTAATTTTGAAATAAATACATTTGTAAATCTATTATACTTCATTTCCATATGAAATTGCATCTAAATCTTACCTGAGCTTTAATTTTCCAGTTTAACATGGAAAAGGAGTAGAACAGATGTGTACATATATTTATTTGAACAAAAGTTGTGAATGAATGCAGAAACAAAACATAGTAATCAGTTCATGTTAGCTATTTGGAAGGGTTTAATTGTTGAGAGGCCCCTTCAGACAATGAGGGTCTAGTTGAAGTCCACGAGTCATAAAAGACCCAAGGTTGCCTACCCCTGGTCTAAGCTGTAACTTGCATGACTCTGAATAAATGCACATGAAACTTTGGTAGAAATTGTGAAGGCCAGTAGTCAAGTTGAACCTTTGTTAGTAAAAGGTGTACCACCTTCACTTTTGGCAGATTTGATACCAGAAAATTGAAAACTGCCTTGATAACAACCGTACAAGATGAGATATAGCCATTATCTGCAGAGATTTGAATAGAGATGATTTAAATATAAATGAAACCTGTGATTGTCTTCAACGGGAAAATAAACTTCCCAAGAAAACATAAACAGATGGAAAATGTTTTCATTTACAGCTCTGGAATCTACCAACATAAATGTGTATCAATTTTGATGCTGCCTGCAGAGGCAATGCACAATGTTTGTTAATCCGCTTCAATTTGCATGTCATTTATTTACACATATATTTATTTCCCCCTTGATTCCTTCCTCATTCAACTTCACTCCTGTGGTGGAAAAAAAAAAGGAGGAGGGATTTAACAGGGGATTTAAAGCATATGCAGAAAAAAAGATGTGTTTTCTTTTGTTGCCTTCTTGAATTAAACTTGTAAATATGTTTGTACGTGTGTGAATTCTTCCTCTAGTGTCAAAAAATGCTCCATCTCTGATAATGATATGATCCAGGAACAATAAAGAAAAGTATAATTCAAAAAACTATTCCAGTGAATATTTAAATCTTTGTTTGACTCAATCAGGTTTATGGTTGTGTAAATGATACTATCTATCCCATGTAGTTTGGCCTATGCAGGAATTCCCATGTTCCTTACAATTGTGTAATTCCTCTGATGCATTGTAATCTAAATTTTAGAGCAGAAAAAGGTCAGAACAATTTACCATGCTTGGACTCTATCTATCTATCTATCTATCTATCTATCTATCTATCTATCTATCTATCTATCTATCTATCATCTATCTATCTATCTATCTATCTATCTATCTATCTATCTATCTATCTATCTATCTATCTATCTATCTATCTATCCATCCATCCATCCATCCATCCATCCATCCATCCATCCATCCATCTATCTATCTATCTATCTATCTAGAGTCATGCATTGGTCTGACTACACTGAATATGGCATTGTAAGTCATATTTCCATCCATTCTTTCCTGTACTGATGCATTTTCTGTTTTCGTTGCTCCAGCTAGCCAAGCTAGGGACCTTTTATCAAAGATGCTAGTGATTGACCCAGCCAAACGGATATCAGTGGATGAAGCCTTACAGCATCCGTACATCAATGTCTGGTATGACCCAGCAGAGGTGGAGGCGGTAAGTAGACTATTAGATTTGAAATTAGAACTTTGAATGTTTTAGTACTAACCTTCCGTAAACCCTCTTTTTATTTGTTTTCTTTTTATCATTATAGTGTTTAGCACAAGCAGCTCTTTTCAGTAGAACCAGTGGTTTCCTAAACTAATTGTTAATCAGTGCCACATAGTATATTTTATTATAAAACGTTGGTCCTCTTCTTCCCATTACTTAAAAAAAAAGTCTTAAAGTGGTTTATAGTGTACTCTTTCTGTTCTAAAGTGCTACTTTCAGCAAATCTTAGTACCAGTCTAGAAGTTGTGCAACAGCTGGCATGTCAAGAAGTAGGATCCTCAATGGCAGAGGTGGGCAATCAGCATTTTAGCCTCTGGACCACTTTCTTTGTAGCTCTTAGAGTTCACCCCAAGACTGCAGCATTATATAATTGCCAATAAATAGTGACATTACTTTATGCCGCCTTTATGATGAGAAACAGAAGAAGCATCACAAGACTCAAAAAGATTTAGTAGTTTAAAAAATGAAGAGCGGGACCTTTTCCTACCAATGTAAAATAAATGCTCAAAAACTCCTCCTTTCAATGACTTAGCACCTAGGTACATTAAGACTGTCTCCTTCATGTAGAAGCAGCTGTCTAGTCTGTACATAACTGAGTAGATATGTTCAGAGTATCCCCTAGGTGAGGTTTGGAGGGCAGGAAACAAGATTGTCAATAATACTTTCATCCTGGAATTCAATTCAATAGTTTTATTTCTGAAGCTTCTTACAGTAAGTGAGAAAGCGATGAAGACTGAGCTAATTTGCTGGGCTTTAACTCAGAACCTTGCTAATACTAAATGCTGGGAGAGCAGTGGGTGGTTTCAATTTACTTTATGGATTGGTTGTATAATGCATACACTGTAAACTATAGTGTGCTATCGTGCTGAAGTCTGAATCCATAAGAAGAATAAAATAAACAAAATAATAACACTATTGTCTTCTCAATGGGTGTTTGGCTGTCCGAATGAGAATAAAAGCTTGGGTTTGTCTGCTGAAAAAGTTTACTATAGGGGTGAAGGTTCGTTCTCTGAGTTTCTGGATTGGTTTCAGAACATTTCATTATAAATAGAACACTGACACTGACATCCCCTAAACCAGTGGTTCTCAACCTTTTTAATGCCGCGACCCCCAACCTGTCATAAGTCGAGGACTAAACCAGTCGTAAGTCGAGGACTAAACCGGTCGTAAGTCGAGGACTACCCAACCGGTCGTAAGTCGAGGACTTTCCCTGCCCAGGAGCGCCACGCATGGGTGGTTCCGCCCCCTGCGCCGGCCAAGGCGTAGCTGGCAAGCGGCAGAGACGGAGCAGGCCGACCACCAGCTGGCCCAGCCCAAGGGAGGTAAGGCACCCGCCGGAAAAGGGGGAAAAAATGGCGGACAAAAAAAATGGCGGACAGCCTTGCTTGGCGACCCCCGTGAAATGGTCGATCGACCCCAAATGGGGTCACGACCCATAGGTTGAGAACCGCTGCCCTAAACTCTGCTGAAGATGTTACCTAGCCTGGTAATGAAACGTTCGGAAACCAACCCAGAAGCTCGGAGATCGAACCTTCACCCTCATCCTACACCCGAGCTACAGACATTCACCATTATTGCAAAGTTTACTATCCTGATCAGTTGATCCGACTTTAACCAGGCATCTCTTACATCTGCCTCTGCATTTCTGGGCACCTGAGAGATGAATCCACCAAGACTTTCATTCCATGGCTTGAATTATCGTACAGTCACAAGTCCCAAAGTCTTATAGAACTCACATATTAATGCAAGCCAGTCATAGTCGTACCAAGTCAAAGTCTACAAACCCTCTTCCCTGACATAAGAGATTGGGTTCCATGAGGAACAAACAAAAAGTGAGGCTCCTCTGCCTGTCAATACCTGGCATGCAGCTATGACATTTGCTAGGTGTCAGGTGGCCTCTGAGAAGTATAATGGGAAAACTATATTTCCCAGGAACTGCTTGCAATCTGGAATGTTGAGTAGAGGTTCCTAAGTGCCCCAGCAGGAGGAAATTATTTTCTCTTTTTTTTGTGTAGTGTCCTTGCATTTTAGCTTACTGCCGCCCATAAGTCAGTCCTTACCCTCGGATAGTTTCAGGTTGTTCCCACTTCACGGAATGAACCATCTCAGCATGAAAGAGACTAAAGGAGTGATAGAAGATGGGAGATAATGTTTATTTATTTATTTATTTTATTTATTTATTGAATTTATATACCGCCCTATTTCCCTTACGGGACTCAGGGCGGTGAACAGGCGATAATAAAAACCATGATAAATATAGGCAGTTCTAAAATCAAATTAAATAACGGGCCTGTTCTAAAAACACACCCATACAAACCCCCCCACTAAAACATAATCAAACTACGCCAGGCCGGCCGCACGGAATAGATGGGCCTTCAGGGCTCGGCGAAAAAGGCGCAGGTCCGCAACTGTACGTAGGTCGGGGGGTAGGTCATTCCAGAGGGCAGGAGCTGCCACAGAGAAGGCTCTCCCCCTGGGGGTCGCCAGCCGGCATTGTCTGGCCGACGGCACCC